GCCGTCTCCCCCCACGCGGTGAGTGCTCCCCCCACCCGTGCGTCCTCCCACCAGACCCTCTGCCCGGGGGGTTTCTCACCGTGAACACCCTCAGCGCATCTGGAGGGGAGGAGGCAGGCCCCAGGCAGGGGCAGGGAGAGGGCAGGGGGCGTGGGGTCCCTAAGGAGCTCTGGGCGGAGCCCTCCTGGGGGGCCTCCCACCCCCAGGGTGAAAGGAGAAGGGACCCCTCCCCAGCCACGGGTGTGTGTGTGTGTGTGTGTGTGTGTGTGTGTGTGTGTGTGCTGTGTCTACTTCAGCCATCAAGTTCGTCCATTGGCCCCATTAAGCGAATGACATCCCGACCTCCCAGAACCGTAGGAATCATCCTCTAGTCCTCCCTCTCCCTCAGTCCAGCCCATTGCCAAATCCTGCCATGATTTAGGACAAAACTCCTCTGAATCCACAGCCACGTCCTGGCGCTGCCTCACAGCCCCTGCCCTTCACCTGGGGGTGAGGGAGGGCGGGGAGAGAGGGCCGAGAACCCACCCCCAAAGGCACAAAGCATTCAGGCGCCTCTTGGCGGCTCCAGCTCTGTTATCCCATCGACTCCACGTACAAAACAAATTAATTCATAGATAAAAGCATCTAGAAGTTCCAGACAGCGACCAGAGAGCAGGTCCCCAAGTGCGGGTCCTCTGAGTGTGGGGCCCTGTGCAGCTGTGCTGGACCCGCACCGGAAGCCCCCCGCCCCCTCCCCCAGGCAGCCTCTGTCTCTTTTCTGACATTTATCTGGGTCAGCCCCCATCACACTGTGACTTGTGCTCATGGATCTGTCTTCCTCCCACACTGCAAGCCCCTCACTGTGGATGCTCAGGGGACACTTATCAGGGTCTGGCATACAGAATCAGCAACAATGAATGTTTGTTTTATTTTTTTAAAATATATTTCTTTTTTTTTAGGTCTATAATTTTTTCTTTCTTTTTAATTTTGTTTTATTGCTTAAGGTATTACAAAGAGTATTACATGTATATTTCTTTATTGATTTCAGAGGAAGGGAGGAGAGAGAGAGATAGAAACATCAATGATGAGAGAGAATCATTGATTGGCTGCCTCCTGCATGCCCCACACTGGGGATCAAGCCCGCAACCCAGGTATGTGCCCTTGGCCGAAACCGAACCCAGGACCCTTCAGTCCGCAGGCTGACGCCCCATCACTGAGCCACGCCGGCTAGGGCCGAATGTTTGTTTTAAAATGAGAGAGAGAGAGAGAGAGAGAGAGAGAGAGAGAGAGAGGACTCAGATCCTCAGATTCCTGGTGCATGGCTGCATGCAGGAGGCACAGGGTCAGCAGAAGGTCCATCCTGGCCCTTAGCTCTCCCCCTCCTACTGGGCTCACTGGGAGGAGTACCCAGTATTCTTGGACTTGGGCTGAGGGTCCCTCTGCTCCCATTGGGAGGTGCCCTGCCCCTGGGTGTCCTCCCCTCCATGGGTGGGAGACATCACCCCACCCCAGTTCTGTCCTGTTCCACAGACTTGTCTCTACTCCATTGCAGCCGCCGCGGTTGCTGTGACTTACCCCGTGTGCGGTGGTTTGCTCTGCTTGGGGGTGAAGGAGCGGCCAGGTACAGAGGTGCAGGCAGAAGCTGGGGGCAGGGCTGCTCGTGGGCCTGGGTTTTGGTTTGGAACTCTGCCAGGTCGCGATGTCACCTTCCTGTGTTGCAGACCCCTCTGCCCCGGCCTCCAGCCAGGGCATGAGCTTCCTGGCTGGGCTGGGCCTCACTGTCCGGCACCCGCCCTACCTGAAGCTGGTGATCTCCTTCCTGTTCATCTCAGCAGCCGTCCAGGTACCTCTGGCCAGGCGCATCCCCACTGGCTTGGTTCCAGCCGCACTGAGCTTGCGTGGGTTCAGGTTCAGCCTCTCATCCCACGGCATCACAGTTAGGCTTGAGTGGTAATAGGGAGAGAGCAGCAGCTGGCGTGTGGCCCAGAGAAGGTGGTGCTGGGAGGAGAGAGATCTAGATAGAGCTCCTGGGAATGAGGAGGGTCAGGGCCGAGACACCAGGAACACAGTCTGGATGGTAAAGTGCACCCAATCTTAGCTGTGCAAGGGGGGCTGGTAGATTAGGAATGGTGTTTATGCCTGTGTCAGGGATAAGCATCCTTTGTAGGGCGGGGACTGCACGATGGCGGCAGCAACCAGGGTTCAAGGTCTCCAAAGGGAGGCCAGGATTGAGGTGTAGGCCTTGCTCTTGCCTTCTGAGGTCCTGCCATTCCTGTACTCACCCACCTCCTGTCACCCTCCTCAGGTGGAGCAGAGCTACCTGGTCCTGTTCTGTACACACGCCTCCCAGCTACATGACCACGTCCAGAGCCTGGTGCTAACCATCCTGGTGAGGAGACCTGGGTGACACGTGTGGTCCCTGACATGACATGTGTGGCCAGAGTTCTGGGGGGCAACATTCTGGACCTACATTCTGGCAGAGGAATTGGGGCCAGGGTCATAAAGTTCATAGCCGCTGGTTCCAACCAGGAGGCAACGTGGAGGCCGGGCATCCTACCTAAAAGCCAGGGCTGTGAGAACCTGGGCAGAGGCACCGGCGCTTGGCTGGCTGGGCCGTGGGCCAGGCTGTGATGGTTCTGTCTGTTCACAGGTCTCAGCTGTACTGAGCACCCCGCTGTGGGAGTGGGTTCTGCAGCGATTTGGGAAGAGGATGTCGGCCTTCGGGATCTGTGTGAGTGAGGCAGGAAGCGACGCTTGGAGTTGGGTTGGGGGAGGCTGACCTTGGAGCCGGAGCCTCCTGGGGGCCAGCCGGTCGATCTGTAATCGCTTGTGTCTTCAGTGCCCAGCACAGGACCAGGCACGGGTTGTTAGTCCAGACGGGTGAGTGTGTGCTGGGAAGAGCAAGCGGGGCAGGTAGAGGGAGCAGCTCGTGTGTCTGTCTCCCCAGGTGATGGTGCCTTTTGTAATCCTGTTGGCTGCTGTGCCCACAGCCCCCGTGGCATACGTCGTGGCCTTTGTGTCTGGCGTGAGCATCGCTCTGTCCTTGCTGCTACCCTGGTAGGCTGCGCGAGGGGAAGGGAACGTGGGAGCTTCATGTCCTTCCTGATGCGTCTGCCCTCCTTCATGTCAACCTGGTGCCCCGGGCCCCTCGTGCCCAGCCTGTGCTGGGGAGCCGCTCTCCCACTGGCAGGGATGGAGGCCACCCGCTCCATCTTGGGAGCCCTCCTAAAAGAGCACCAGCAGCAGGCATGGTGGGCAGCCAGGGGTGGGGGTGTAGAGGTGCGGGTGGAATGCCAACACACAGTGCCTGGCTCTCTGTGGTCTAGTCCTGGCCCTGGATAGTGAGGACTCAGGGATGACCCTGACTTGGTCTCTGCCCCGAGAGCTTGCAGGCTGGTGGCTGTCCAGGGGGGTCAGGGGGATAACTCTGCAGCCCCTCCCCCAGGTCCATGCTCCCAGACGTGGTGGATGACTTCCAGCTGCAGCACCAGCACGGCCCCGGCATAGAGACCATCTTCTACTCGTCCTACGTCTTCTTCACTAAGCTCTCGGGCGCAGGGGCCCTGGGCATCTCCACGCTCAGTCTTGAGTGAGTCCCAGAGCTGGGCTGTGGCGGGGGCACAAAAGACCAGCTGGGTGGGAGGAGGGCAGAGTCCCCCACCCCAGCCAGCCCGGGGACCGGGGGACCGAGCTCTGCTCTTTGGAGAGTGCGGGGCAGACACCTCCTCAGCTGGCTCTGGGAATGTGACTGAAAGGGGCCTTTCTTGAGGGCCATAGCCTCAGCCCCCCACATTCTCACTTCTCTCTGAACTCCTCCCTGACCAGCCCATTCCCTCAACACTTCCTTCCACCCTGGCTAGGCTGATCTGACCAAGAAATGAATCCAAGTTTCGGGAGAGTGTGGAGGTGGGGGATCTGGGACCCCTCCCTCAAGGAGCCAGGCTCGGGAGGGTCTGGGCTGGATGATGGGATGGTGTTTCTCCAGGTTTGCGGGGTATGAGGCAGGAGCCTGCAAGCAAGCAGAGCAGGTGGTGGTGACCCTCAAGGTCCTCATCGGTGCTGTGCCCACCTGCATGATCCTCACCGGTCTTTGCATCCTCATGGTCGGCCCCGGTCCAAAGGTGCCAAGCCAGGACTCCTCTCACCAGCTGAGCCTTCGAAGGTGGGCACCCCATGCACACGGGTACACACAGACAGCTACCAGCACCCCCGGAGGCACATAGACGTGTGCCGATGTGAGACCAACCAGGCCGCAGGTCCCCCGGCGGTGCTTACACCACTGAACAATCCTGCCTTTGGAGACTCTGCCTTAGCTTCAGTGACACCATCTAAATTTTCTTCTGCTGCTCAGTCTCCCTTGATAACCAGTAGGATGGTGGTATGGGAGGGCTCCCTTGTTCACCCCTATTCCTTCTGCTCTCCATAATCCTGGGCACCTCTTCCACTTGCTTGACCCCGAGCACCTCTTGTGCTTGCTGTCCTCCTGCCAACCCTACCACCCCACCCCCATACTGCCTTCAAGTTCCAGATCCACACCCCTGGCTCTCATTTGGATATCTCCACCTGACGTCCCACAACCACGGCAGTCAGTCTTAATGATCCCCCAAAGGAATTCATGGTCTTGTCCCAGTCAGCTCCACCACCCTCCCGTCTGGGAGCCGAAACCCGGGGATGGATGGATGGATCATCTTCCACTCCTCCCCCGACAGGCTGTGCTGAGAGCTCTCTGAGCCTTGCCCTTCCCCCTCCCAGAGCACTGGTTCCACTGCAGGGAGGATCTGCTGTCTGGCTTTCCCCGTAGACTGTGGGGACCTTGAGGCCATATCTTTGTGTTTATTCATTTTTATGTCCTAAGAGCCTAGCACAGTGCCCGAGACCAAGCAGGTGCTGCAGTATCAACATGGTGCTACAGACTTTCATGAGCACGTATCCACATCTTTGCAGATGCTCATGCACTCACATGTACACACAGAGGACCACACAGGGGAGACAGGAAGTGACATCATCATCCATCCCTCATCCCTCAGCATGGCTGGTCTCAAGACTACAGCCAAGTAATACTGACCTCACGTGCTACACTCAGGGAGTGACACACAGCTGCTTGATGGGACTTGGGGAAACAGGCTTATGGCTTTGTTCACACAGGGTTGGGGGTGTGTGTGAGGGGAGGAGTTGCTAGGAAGACAAGGAACAGCCACTGACACCTCCACGGGGCCTGGCAGGGCAGAGACCCCACCCTCCCTCATCCTCTTGGGCTTCTTCCCTTCCCGCAGGAGGACCAGCTACAGCCTCGCTGCAAGTTAAAGCTTCGTGAGCCCAACAGCAGGAGCCCGCATCGTCTGGGCTCGAAGTCCCCCTCTCTTCTCAGCCGTTTAGAACCCCCACTTCGCAGCGTGCACGTGACCTTTTCCCTGGGACATGGAGCCTTCAGTGACCTCTCCAGAAGGGACTGGCCTGGGTTCCACCTGTCTTTTCTTACCTGTTGACCACAGACCATTTCAGATAAACCTGTGCCCCTGACTACCCGGCTCCAGGTGACGTTTGACCTGGAAAGCATCCCAATAGCAGCTTGTCCTGAAAAAAAGGAAGCCTCGGCCAGCCTGGCCTGCAGACCCCCCAACAACCTGCTGACCTGACAGGACAGACACACAGACGACCCTTTGTTCTTCCTGATGCCCCAGTGGACATCTGAGAGACTGACAGACGTCACATGAATGGGCAGAGTGGGGACAGATGGGCAGGCTGGGGATGTTGTTAGGACAGACAGATGCAGGGAGGCCAGCAGACCCCAGGGGGAGCGAAGGGGACAGCAGTGGGGATGAGAAGGCGGAGCAGGGCACGGGGTGTTCTCGAACCTCTCTCTCTGTCAGGTTGATGACTGTTCCCAGAGGTGGGCACAGACTGTCCAGCCACCAGAGATGGATCATTTTCATGAACAGTCGTTATTTTTGTGGGAATATTTTTTTCTGAACTTTTATAAAAAGTACAGGAACCACCATTTTCTAGAAGCCGTATCTTTGGAAAAGATCCACTGAGGTTTTTTTTTTTCAAAAAACAAAAAACCACATTAAAAGGTTTGTCTTCTACTGAGTCAGTAAAGTGTGATGGTGGGCAGCCCTCCATCATCCCTTGGCCCAGGGGCTAGGCTCCCTTCCACTTCCTCTTCGGGCCTTTGGCGGCCTCTTAGGTGAGAGACCCCGTAGGCTGCCAGAACTCAGACTCACGCACAGAGATGCTCGTCCGAGCTCGGTTTAAGCCTCTGGCTTCCTCCACAGAGAGGGAGCTGACCTCCCAGTGAGTGCAGAATGTTAAAAGTATTACATATGTCCTTATTTTCCCCCATCACCC